GTTTCTCAGATTTCCAAAAAGGTTGAAGAAGAATGGCGGATCAACTCACCGATGACCAGATCTCAGAGTTCAAGGAAGCGTTTAGCCTCTTCGACAAGGATGGAGATGGTAATCTTATTGTCACAGATCTCTTTGCTCCTTTTTTTTTTTGTTCGTTTATGTCATCGATCGTTGAGTTCGGGAATTTGTTTGACGATTTGTTAATGTTCATACTCTCTGTATACAATCCGTGTTTGTTTCGCTTGATTCGTGTACGATCTAGCTTTTTGGCATGTTCGATGTCGATTCATTACTCACGCGGTGTTTGTTTGGTCGCTTCCTCTCCTCGCTCGATCGCTTCTTTTTTTTTAGGGTTGACTTGGTTCATTTCCCGTATTTCACTACCATGTGCTAAATCTTCAGATTCTTTATGAAATTTATTGGCATATATAGTCGTATGATGTATTCATATGTTGAGATTGAGTTGTTAATTAGGGGTTACATTGTTAAATGGTGTTTTATTGTCTAACTAAACCTAAATATGTAATTTAATTCCTAGTTTGATTATGTGAAATAGAAATGAATGTATTTTCTGCTCTGATTGGTCAAGAGTTTGCAAACTTCTGTTGTATTACATCATTCTTAACATGTAGTGCAGTTTTTGTGGCCTTTTCTTAGCGAGACGTTGAGCTCAATGGAACGAAATGGCTTAGGGTTTTTAACTGAGCTTTGATACCAAGAATATATGTAGTGTCTTTTATTATTGACATTTCAAGAATGTACATGAGTCTAGGGTTCTTAGTACAATACACATAAAGGAAACATTGAATAAATACGCAATATTTCCTTTCACTTTAGGAAGACTTGAAGATTGTTCATTTCTGGTGTGCATAAATGAAGTTTCTTTGTTAACTTGGTAGGATTTTTTCAGATCTTCACCTGTCCAAGAAATGCAATGACTTGCTATAACAAGTAGAAAGAGCTGACTGAATTCTCTTTGCTTGATTCACCTTTTCAGCTGAAATCTTGGCATGATAGATATTTAATCGCTAGTGTATTTGGAAACTGCTGATCTGAAAATATATAAGCATGTCTCTGAAGTTTATACCTGAATTTGGTTGCAGGTTGCATCACCACCAAGGAGCTCGGAACTGTGATGAGGTCTCTTGGGCAAAACCCAACAGAAGCTGAGCTCCAAGACATGATCAATGAAGTTGACGCAGACGGGAATGGGACCATAGATTTCCCCGAGTTCCTGAACCTGATGGCAAGGAAAATGAAGGACACTGATTCAGAGGAAGAGCTGAAGGAAGCCTTTAGGGTTTTTGATAAAGACCAGAATGGTTTCATATCTGCAGCAGAGCTTCGACATGTGATGACTAATCTCGGGGAGAAGCTAACCGATGAGGAAGTTGATGAGATGATCCGAGAGGCGGATGTTGACGGTGACGGTCAGATCAACTATGATGAATTCGTTAAAGTCATGATGGCTAAGTGAGAGAATCTTGTTCCCTTCTTAAAAGTCTTAACTCCCAAAAAAGAGGAGAAAATGATTTTCTTATGACTTTGATTCTGGTTGGGTTCTTTAGGACA